GACGTGCGTGTGTGACCAACTTCAAAAGTTCTCGGGTAAACTTGGGGCAAATTTGCATGTTTTTGTGTCTGGTATGCGAATTGAAGGCGTGGTATGGGTAGATTAGAGGTTGAAAATGAGGGCCCTTGTGCTGCCTAAATCGGCAATGTCAGCATTTGGCAAGGTCAAGGTCAACTGTATTCTTAGACCAGGTTGCTAGGTGTAGGCAGAAATATTAGCATAGACACAACATCGATCATCAAGTTTCACGTACAGAATTAGTCTCAGTGTGCATGGTGGGCAACTACGTGCATGTTTGATTCTGCAACCTGCATTTACAACCATGATGAGAATATAAGGTGGAATGGTTGCCATAAGTAGTTGGACTGGAGAAATGTAAAAGTGGCCAGTGCATTTAACCATTCTCTTAGTCATGTTTTCGGTCTTAGTCTCTTAGATCAGTAGTTGGCATATTGCTTTGACAGATGTTGAGCTGTTTGGTGCTGCTCTGTTTGGATTTAGTGAACTATCATGAGATGGCGCAGTCCATCCTCATCCAGAGCATCGTTACATTCTTCTATTATTCGAGATCTTACTCACATTTTATTTTCATTAGTATCTGATGTGGATGTTTAACTGATTGATGTCTCACTTCTTCACAGGAATTGATGCCTGGAGGTGTTAATTCACCAGTCCGTGCCTTCAAATCAGTCGGCGGGCAGCCCATAGTTTTTGATTCTGTGAAGGGCTCTCATATGTGGGATGTCGATGGAAATGAATATATTGATTATGTTGGTTCCTGGGGTCCTGCAATCATTGGTCATGCAGATGACAAGGTACATCCTACCCTCCGTCCCAAAATAAGTGCCGTTGACTTAGTACAACTTCGTACTAAAGTTGTACTAAATCCGCGATATTTATTTTGGGACGGAGGGAATATTTCATAAAATGTATGAGTTAGAATGTTTCTACCTGTATATTTTGAACTGCTTTATTGTTGCCCAGAGTGAATATTTGATGATTGAAAGGCTTGGTAATTTCTTCGTTGTACTAGTCGGTAGGATTAATTTGACTAATCACCATTTTTTCCAAAAAAAGAAATACCACTAGCTAAAGTACATGCATTATTCACTAGATTGTGTGATCAAACTGCTGGAATCGCCTAATACTATCTCAGTTCAAAACTTTTGAGGAATCATGAAGTTAGGACTAAACATATCTTGCTCTATTTGGAAATCGCAAGATAGAAACTGACTGACCATTCTGAACCAAATTCAGCGTTACTAAATGCTTGTGTTTAATTCAGGTGAATGCTGCACTTATTGAAACTCTGAAGAAGGGAACTAGCTTTGGTGCTCCATGTGCGTTGGAGAATGTGTTGGCTCAAATGGTCATCTCCGCTGTGCCGAGTATCGAAATGGTTCGTTTTGTAAATTCAGGAACAGAAGCTTGCATGGGAGCACTCCGTCTTGTGCGTGCATTCACTGGGAGGGAAAAGATCCTCAAGTTTGAAGGCTGTTACCATGGCCATGCAGATTCCTTCCTCGTTAAAGCAGGCAGTGGTGTTGCCACCCTCGGCCTCCCAGACTCCCCTGGAGTGCCTAAAGGAGCCACCGTTGGGACTCTAACAGCACCTTATAATGATGCTGAGGCGGTTAAAAAGCTGTTTGAGGATAACAAAGGGGAGATTGCTGCAGTCTTCCTTGAGCCGGTTGTCGGCAATGCTGGCTTCATTCCTCCGCAGCCTGCTTTCCTAAATGCTCTCCGTGAGGTGACCAAACAAGACGGTGCACTTCTGGTCTTTGATGAAGTGATGACTGGTTTCCGTTTAGCTTATGGTGGGGCACAAGAGTACTTTGGAATCACCCCTGACGTGACAACCTTGGGGAAAATTATTGGCGGTGGTCTTCCAGTTGGTGCTTACGGTGGGCGGAAGGATATCATGGAGATGGTTGCTCCAGCAGGACCAATGTACCAGGCAGGAACCCTGAGTGGAAACCCTCTAGCTATGACTGCTGGAATCCACACTCTCAAGCGTCTGATGGAGCCTGGCACCTATGAATACTTAGACAAGGTCACTGGTGAACTTGTCCAGGGTATATTGGATGCGGGTGCTAAAACAGGGCACGAGATGTGTGGAGGACACATCAGGGGCATGTTCGGATTCTTCTTCGCAGGTGGCCCAGTGCACAACTTTGATGACGCCAAGAAGAGCGACACCGCGAAGTTTGGGAGGTTCCACCGTGGAATGCTGGAAGAAGGCGTGTATTTGGCACCATCCCAGTTCGAGGCAGGTTTTACAAGCTTGGCACACACAACCCTAGACATTGAGAAAACCGTGGAGGCTGCTGAGAAGGTTCTTCGTCGGATATAGATGATTCGGATTGCAAACCTTTTGGAGCCTTTCCTTCTGTTGTACTCTGTTTGTACGTGGCTGAAGTTTAGTTTCGTATTGTATTTTGTTGTGCAGCAGCAGCAGCAGTATATTGTCTCTAGCCCATTTCTCTTCTTCTGAATTAGCATTTGGGGTGATTTTGTCTTGGCAATAAAACTTTGGCTACGACCTCTCCTATTCCATCTTCCTGTTGATTGAATATTTTTGCACCAAGTAAAGAAACCAGCAAATGTAACCGTTGTGTCGTTGCGTGCCTAAAGATGTTGGATCAACGGTGCTGGTCGCTGTACATCTTCTTGTCTCGCTAAAGCCAAAGAAGGAAAAAACAAAATTTCTACCTGAGCACGTTATGTCAAATATCTTGCCCCATGTAGTGCCAAACAAACGAAATCTCCCCTATTTAATTTTCAGATATGATACTCTTTTCAGGTTGACATCGTGCTTGGCTGGTGATATATATTCCCTTTAATCCGCTCTCTTGTGCAACTTGATTAGGTCCGTCCAATTGTTAGGATACAAGTGCATGTTGCAAAGGTGTGGGGGTCTCTTTCATCAATCGATTCCACCTTTTTCCACACAAACAGAAGGCACATCATTCTCTCACTCTTTTTTTTTATCATGAACAAGCTGCCGCCATCGCTCCCTTAATGGAGCCGGCCTATCGGGAAATCTTTATGCAAGTGCCCGTAACAACCAACACTCTCGACCTATAGCCGCCGCCATTGGACCCATAAATTGATTTGAAGCGCTTGACATCAAATCTCATTGTCTTGCACACATGGCGAGAAAACCTAACATCATTGTCTTAAGAAGACTGCATGAATCTATGTCAAAACTTCTTTGACTATGTTTCAATGGACGAACTTGAGGAGGATCGGAGCCCGAAAGATCATCTTGAAGATGAAGCGCCACCATCCGCTACCTCACCGCTCCCACGAGAAATAATAAACTCTAACATAAACTACTAGCCGAACCGAGGCACCATGAGGCCGATTGGTTCACGCCCATGGTAGCCTTGCCGGAATTGGTCACCCTAATAATTTGGCGAAAGTTTTCGCCGCCAGCGATTTGCCAACGCGCAGGCGTACAGAGTAAACCGGCTGCTGAAATATTGGCGGGGATCCGATAGTTTGGTATCCTCAAAACGCACGCCAATTCTAGCAGTCAACGTCAATTAATTACTATGGCAGCCCTTGACTACAATTCAAATGCCCCTCAGGACTCTCCACCCCTGTTGTTAGCCGCTGGAGTGGCAGGGGGAGGCGGGTCCTCGGGAGTGGAAGGGATAGATTGATTTAGGAAAAAAAAAAGACCTAGAGACCCTAGGGCACATCATTCATCGTGTTGAATGCTTAATTTTGCGGATAAAAGGAAAACACACACGCACGCACACGCACGCACTCACACGAATACATCATCATGCGGAGTGTCCCCTGCTCACAGTTAGAATTAGGCTAGAAGGTGATAGCTAGTTGTCAATTAGCAACTGTCATCTCTTCGGGTGTTTGTTGGCTGTTTTTTTTTAGAAAAACTTTCGATCATCAAACAACATGCCAATATAAAGAACACAAGAAGTAATAAAAAATATTTTATCCATGTTCCTAGGCCACCTAGCAACACTATAAACACAGGATGACTCAATGGCGCAATCATCGCCCCTCCTCACGGGAGCCATACAAATCATTTTTTTCATTCTTGGTTATAGTAGACAGTCGAAAAATCGTTAAGCTAAGATCCCAAAGGAACAACAACCTTTATGGATACAGGGAAGACATCCCTTCCTTCCAATCTCTTCACCTTGTGTAAGTACCAAAATCACTTGTGATAATTTTACATTAAGGAAAATGATGCATAATTCATTTTTATGTTCAAATTAGTACTATGTCGTGTTTGTTGATTGTTGGTAATGAGACCGCCAACCGCTCATGCCGATCGGTAGCATGCTCTATTTGCTGTATTGCATATACTTACGAAATAAAATGAAACATCTGCTCTCTCTCTCTCTCTCTCCACCAGAATCGACCTGTTTTTTTTTTCTTACTGCTTGAACCGTTGATCGTTTCGTAACGAAGACATGTGATCTGAACCGTCCAATTCAGATCCAACAAAGATAGGCCCACAAGGTCAGCGAGACACAAAACAGCGAAACAGCGTCGTTGCCCCGCTAGGAGGCTACACGTATTGGGGTTCTCAGCCCGAATTCTCAAGTTTTGGCGCCGAGGGTGGGTCAGGGGCCCGTACCCCGCAACTTGGTGCCGTACACATCCGATGGACTGGCCCATGGAGCCCCTCGTCCTGTCCTCCACAACTTTCGCTTGAATCTCTCTCATTCTCTCCCCTCCCAAGTTAATTCTCCCCATCTTTATGACCAGCTGCCACCAGCCTCCTCCGCTCCTCGCTCGGTTGCGTTTTGCCGGGTAGCTAGCTAGCTAGGGCCTTCACTGGGAATGGCGGAGGATGTGGGGAGGAGGAGGATGCAGCAGCAGCAGCAGGAGGATGAGCGTTTGAAGGCGGCGGCCGCGGCGGTGGAGGAGGGAGTAGGGAAGAGGAAGAGGAAGCGGGGGAGGGTGGAGTTGCGGCGGATAGAGGACAGGACGAGCCGGCAGGTTCGCTTCTCCAAGCGGCGGAGCGGGCTCTTCAAGAAGGCCTTCGAGCTCTCCGTGCTGTGCGACGCCGAGGTTGCGCTAGTTGTCTTCTCTCCCGCCGGCCGCCTCTACGAGTTCGTCTCCTCCGACACCAGGTATACCGTATATCCGTATGTATATTGTATACTAATCTAAATTTTCTCTAGTCGCCTATCTTTTGTAAGTATCCATGTGTTTTCTGCTGTTCTTGGCAGCTAGTACTTTTTGCCTTTTATATTGCACCGGCGCTCTTGCATGTTCTTGTTTCGGCCGAGCACACACAGTTTGGTCTAGAAAATCATTGCCGGCTGCCGCGGATCGTGTTTACGCGCCCGAGTTCGCGATGGTTAGTTCTCAAACTGAAGGATCTGTGCATATATAGCCCGACCAAAAATATGATATGTAGCTGCCCATAACCACGCCGGATTATTTTTCTCTGATTTTATGTTGCATTTCTTTGTTTCCATGGGGAATGATTTATTTCCCACAGGCGTATCATTGGAATTTTGGCAAAATTAAGCTGGGCGTCCTTCTGTCAGTCTAGTTAAATATTTCTCTGTAGCGCATGGTCTTGCTACCATGGCTAAGAGCTCAGGAGATAGTCTGATGGTAGGCAAGGTCCCTGACTATATTGAGCAGCTATGGTACGTGATTGTAATCCCAACCAAGAGTAGCTTTCCACTCTTTGGTTCTCAAAAAAAAAAAGAAAAAAAAAGCTCCCACTGCACCTGCACTTTTTTTTTTTTTGCGATGGACTGCACCTGCACGTTGCGAGTGCCTTTTTCCGTAATATACATTCAGCAGCTAAATATGAGATGCAGCAATCCTGCTGTAAGACTGTTATAAGTTACTGTTAACAGTGTACATGTTGCCCCAGTATACTTGTGTGCCAACCTTAAAAGAACACACACTAGTTTGAATACATGCATAATATCACTCGTATATAAGTGCAAATTATTGCATTTCTACCACCACTGTATACTTTTCTACGCAGATTATGCCATTCTCTTTTATTAGCATTAGCATACATATATAGTTCTGATAGTGAAACTGTCCTTGATTTAATTTAAAAAAAAGCCCTTTTGTGAAGCTGGTGCCGATCAATCATGTTCTAGTGTGAAGTTATCGGATCAGTTTTTTTTACTTTGTCAACAGATACAAAGTATTTACTACAGTATGTTATTACACTAGATCCATTTTAAATTTCCTATTTCTATTTTATTTTTTGCAGCGTTGAGCAAATTTTTGGTCGGTGCAAGGACATTCCCGACACGGTAATTGATGATCTGAATATAGCAGCACGAGATCCCAGGGGTTATTGCAATATACAGGTAAGGAATATGTATGTATGTGTGTATATGTTAGGTTAATTAATTATTCTACCAGCTTCATAGTTAGATTCATGTTTGTATTATGTATATGTTATTTTGGGTACACATATGAGTAATTAAACAAGTTATTGTTCATGTGCTATCTGCCAATTGAATTCATGAGCCTAACTACATATACTCCCTCTGTTATTATTTACTTTGCATATAGGTTTGACCTAAGTCAAACTTTATAAAGTTTGACTGAGTTTATTGAAAACAGTATGAACATTTACAGTTGACAAGTATATATAATGTGAAAGTATATTCAATGATGAATCTGATGGTATTGATTTGGTATTGTAAACTTGGTTAAAGTATTCAAAATTTGACTTAAGATAAAACTTATATGCAGAGGGGGTACATGTAAATTATCTCAATACTGATGCACATGATTCTCAAGTTGATTACAATATACATGTGAGGAATCGTGTTGTGTGCTAAGGTTATAGGGAGGTAGGGGAAGGGCTCTTGCCCTGGAGGGACGATATAAGTGTTATTCTTCTGATTCTAGCTTGCTTTATTCCTCATAGGGAGTCCTTTTTATATAGAGGACTAACCATCCAATCTAAGTAGCAAGCTGAAAGATATATTTCCAGATTAAACAATACACTACTTAACATAGGAATTGGTATCTCTTTGATATCATAATTGGGAGTTGCCATGGTAGGGCCATGTACTAATGTACATAACATCACACCCCTACTAGATATGCAACTCGTCCTTAAGCTGCTAGGTGGGGCGACCATGGTTGCAATCTGACGAAGTCCATTGACAATATGTGATTTCACTGCACCTCATGGCTCGAACTAGATAGTAGCGCTTTGGCCCTGTGTTTGAAGTGGAGGCCCTCCTGGCCTAGGGGAAGACATTGTCTTACTCTGTTCCAACACGAATAGCCTCGTTGCTAGAAGATGTGGAAACTCTATTGCCCCATCTTCATTGGTATGGCATGTTGGGAAACATAGTAGAAAAAAAAATCGCCCTACGATCACCTAGGAATAATATGAAGATGCATATAAGGTTTGGATTGACAACTTTTACCGACTCCGGAATGCAGCGGAAGTAGACGAGTCGGTATAGATCGTACTTGGAGTCCCTCGAAACATTGATGATGATCCCTCGAACAGAAGACCAAAATCACGACATGACTAGTTGGTTGCAAGCTTACGGTCTTCACAATCCGACAGCGCTTTGCCGTCCAGGGCTAATCGTCGCCGGAGAATTAGAGGGAGGAGATTAGAACCACACATGGCTTCTAATTATGAAGATTAGAGGTACTAGGTCTACCTCAAATTAGATAAACTAGAACTAGAACTAGATGAACTAGAGGGGGCTCCGAAACTTGTATCATCAAAAGGGCCAATACCTCAAGTATATATAGGTTAGAGGGGGGAGACTGGCTTCCACCAAGGAGGGAAAGACCCTCCTTGGGGCGCCGACCAAGGGGGAGGAGTTGGACTCCTCAACTTCTCCCCTAGTCCAACTCGGGCCCCCCAAAAGGAAGGGGGGCACTTCCTATTGGGCCATGGTGGCCCAATACTCCTTCCACCACTAGGCTTTTTAAGGCCCATTGATACTAAATGGAATATAAAAGCCTCTAACAATTATTAGAGAATTTTATTATTAAATTAACACCTCTGGAAACATTTTCCACCTATATATATTTATCGATAATATCCGGTATTACCCGATAAACTTCGAAACCCTTCTGGTGACCTCGAAGCGCTTCCTATTCATCTTGAAACTATTCCGAATATTAATGAAACAATTCCACAAATAAATCCTCGATACTCTCGTCCTACTAACACTCAGGAGACTGTGATTACCTTAAGCTTGTGACCCCGTAGGTTCGGTAAATCATAGACATGAACGAAATTCCTTCATTCAATGATCGATAGCAGAACCGAGGATATCCATATCGATCCCTATGATTATACGAATGCCAGTCGAGTGAACCTTTGGTTATCATGTGATGTCCCTTTTGCTTCGCAATACTTTACAAAACCCTAGGTGTGCCGGTATCCTCTTGAGTCATGCACATGCTCATTATAGCGTCATCCTCGTTACCGGTTTTGTTCTACTTTCTAGTTGAAGTGTTCCAGCATCCCCGTGACGTATTCACCTGTGTCTGGCCAGACGATGATTGATGCCGTCACACAGAGAGGGCCCTAAGAATATATTTCCATCGTCGGAGGAGCAAATCCCACTCTTGAGCTATCTAGTCTCTTGTCAAACTTTCCGATGGACCTGTAAGTTGTCGTTATGATCACCGTGTTACAGATGAAGTTTGAGCAACCCTAAAGTTCACTGTACGGTAGGAAGTGACTATGATACTCTCATGGTCTAAGGAACTAAAACACATACTAACACTCCGAATTATAACAATTGATTTCAGATGATATTATATCAAAGTATAACAAACAAGTTTGGGTCGATTCAATATGATCGTTCTTCTAACATCATACTCTCAATGTTGTTTTTGGATGATCGTTACACTTAACGATACCTAAGATCCAAACGTGATCATCAACAACACCTGAGCCTGTTTTAGAGTAAAGACTAGGAACCTATACTTACCGTTTATCATTCCATGGTGCATATGAGTTTTCCATTGAACCGCAGATTCTAGGATCATAGCAGTTATATCATAAAATATAAATTCTTAATTATGAAAATAGAAATACAATATTATTGCCTCCAGGGCATATTTCCAACATGGCCTTGATGCTTCACACTAATTACTTGAAGGAAGTGTAATGGCCTTTTATCAAACCCATGATGTATGAGGTTCCACTGCTCCTGCACGGGCAGAGGCCCGCCAACATACCATCTCATACTCTGAATCATAAACGACTCAACCCGCGCCATGAAGTCCATCTCATCCTTGAGCTGCTAGTTGGTGAAGGTGACTAAGGTATTTAATTACCTGTTCCTTGATTATCTATGAACTATCTAAGGTGCGCATCATAAAAAGAGACATGGAAGATAAAACCGACTTGACAATATGAAGCTTTGCCCCCCGGAAGACAAAAAAGTTGAGGATCGTGATGTTGGAGAACATGCTACACAAAACAAAACAAAACTACCATGCATGAACAAAACGAAGATACACTATTGAGTTGCAAGCATGGAAATTATACCCCCGATAATCACGTCAAAGCAACAAGAAGTTGGTGATGTCGATGAAGTCATCTGAATCTCGCAGCAAGGTTATACGACTCAGCCACGAGTTTGTTCTCTTTGCATAATTTTTCCCGATCAAACGCCAGTGTGTATGACATCTCCAAGGTATCCACCCATACACATGTAGACCAGCATACCAAGAGCAGTGGGAAACTACAAGATGGAGTAGCAGCAACACACTGGCAACTAGAACTATATCCAATCTAGAGGAGAGGGAGGGGAGGCGGCGCCCAACATGAGGGGTGTGGTGGCCAGAGCGGCTTGGGGTGCCCTCCCTATGTACCCTGCCCTCTATTTATAAGTGGCCAAGGGGTGAGGCGGCCAACCCTAGGGGGGTTCGTACTCCACCAGGGACTCATTGATGGAGTCCAACTCCACCAGGTTGCCCCCACTAGGCTGCGTTGCCCCTCAAGCAAACAGTGGGTGCAAGCAGGCAGAGGGTCTTCTTGAATGTTCTAGAACATTACAAAACCTTCCAAACCTTTCAGAAGCTTCGATCATATTCTCTAACCTTTCAGTACTTCTCGGAACACTTTCGAATATCACTGGAACACTTCCAAGATCCTTCGAAACCCTTCTCTCTCATTCTCCATAAAATCATATCATTCCTAAATGTTGCTCAATGTTAAGCATGTGAAATGTTCGAGCATATGTGGACATGTCCGGAAAACCTTCTGGTTAATAATCGTCAATGGGGTCTGGTCACACATAACAAATCTCACATATCATCGAAGATCCTTATCGAGCAAACCTTCTATCATCACATGCAATTCCTTTTACCTCACGGTACATTACACAACCCGAGGCGAGACTTTGATGTTATCCTATAATCAACTCCTTGATCAGTATACCTAAGTATCCTCGTTACTTGTTTGTACTATCTTATCTTCTCCATATTCTAGTATCCTCGTGACTAACTCTTTGGCCACAATACATGGCCAGGCGACGTTGGACACTGTAATAACGAGTGGGCCTAGAGTGTATCTTTCCATCGCCTGAGGGGCAAGTACAAATCTTGAAATATCTGGAACCATGACATACTTTTGATGTATCCGAAAGTTACCTTTACAATTGTGAATTACGTTTGATGACCCCAAAGCATAGTCTTATTTCAATCTTTTGCACCGTAAGTGAGAAATCTTCAACTCTTCGCTTGGTATCCCAAGTGGGGGATCAAAATATGTCAAAGGGAATTCTCCTTTGCATTTGAGGGTTCTTATTAGAGCCTCCATTTTACCCCGTCGCACACTGATTGGGATCATAATGGTTTTTGATAGTTATGTTTGAGCCAAGTGTATCCAAACATAAGTATGGAGAGTGTCTTTAAGAAAGACCAACTGCTTACCATCAGCTTGCATGACCATAAGGGTATCATCCATATGTTGATTTATTGTGAAATCATGGCATCTTGCATTAGACAAAGTAGTTTGGAGCAACCCTTGCTACATGGCCTTCTTTGCGACTAAAGAAGATCGGTTGTTAGAACAAAAAGGAGAGGGGGAAAGGGGTCACCCAGCTTGGCTTGCAATAAATTTTTTCTTAGGTACAACATTAAGCATGATATATGGAGTGCTTGAAGGTAGAATCATAATGGCGTAGTTGATCCATTTGTCCCAAATCCTTTTGCTCCCAAAATTTGTAGTATGGTATTGTGTTCAGCTTTGTCAAAAGATTTTTCAATATCTAGCTTGAGGATTATGATCTCTTCTTTATTATTATTTGTGGCACTAATATAAATTTTTGAACCACTGCAAGCAATCTTGGATAGATCTTCATAA